ATAAAAGTAACACATAAAGTAAACTTATATCACAAACAAACAAACAAACATCCGATCCTAAACATTGCTGCTCACCTTATTAAGAGTCGTATAAATTAAACAAAAAAACAAAAAAGAGACGATGCAAAACAAAATTGTCCTCTACCATAATTAAATAAAACGAACCAAATCTCTCTGAAGAAGAAAAAAAAAACATAAACTTTCTATCTCTTGGCAGCAATCGTCTCTCCCATATTCAAACATTTTGAGTACCTTTTTTTACTGTTGGTGTTCAGCGTTTCCCAGCAGCAGCTTTCTTAGCACCAGGCAGAGGATTCTCATCATCATCAGACTCAATATCACCATACTCCCACATCCCCAACCTCTTTGTACGCGCTTCCGTCTGATACTTTTCCAGCTCATCAAGCGCCACCTGTCGCTCTTTTGGCTCCCACCTCCTCCTCTTCTCCAACCTCGCAAGTCCTCCCTAAAAAATGCTTCCAAAATTAATTCAAAACAAAAAAGAAAATAATAATACGGTTTTAATATCTTATAAACGATAAATACGAACATTGAGCATCGAGGCATTGATACTGATATCAGATTCCGGATCGATCAAAGTCACCAACAGCACACTTCCAGTTCCTTGACCTTTGACTTTTCCACCAGAAGTATCTCGTTCTTCAATAATCGCCCTGAACTCCTTGGGCCCACTAAGTGTGCTTTCACTTAAATGCATCGCTGCTTCCTGACCATAATCGTCTTCCAAAGTCGGTACCTTTAAGTACGCCAGCTGGCAAAGCTGGGCCACCCCAGGTGCAGACGAAACCGATGCATCAAGTGGACGTAACTGATTGTAAGTAACAACTTCTTGGTTCCCGTAGTCGATGTAAAACACTTCAAATTTGTCTTTTGTCGACTGCACCACGCCACGTGGACCACTCACAACCTGACACGTCATCATCAAAAACAGAATTTTAATTATTTATTGAATTTAATTATTGGAAGAAAAAAAAAACAAGTATAAAACACGATCCATACCATGGCACGATTCCATGAGTTATCCGCACTGAACTGTGCAAGGACGATATCGCCCTTTTTAGGATTAAATGCGCCAAGTACAGGGGCTTCTTTGAGGTTTAAAGAAGCCAGTTGTTGTTGGATAGAGGCGACTTTTGAATCTGAAACAGCTTGGACATAGAATTGGCCTCCACTAAGGACTTCGGTCACAACAACCTTAATCTCTTCTTTTTGTTTTTTGTCTTGAGTTGCACCATTGGTGACTTCTTCACCTTCCACGTAGTTTTCCCATATCTGAAACAAATTTATAAAATCAGAGAGTTTTTTACATTTTTGATTCTATTAATTTGATATATTATCAACCTTTAGTTTCTTATTCTTGGCAGACTGTTCGGCTTGAGCAAGAAGATGAGCATCTGGAATCCTATCAGCACCGAATGTCTGAAGTCTCGCAAGCCCGGCTTCTAGAAGATGAATGGCGACATTCGTTTTTGATTCCCATAATGACCCCAAGAAGGTTCCGGTCCTATCAACTGTTTCCACTTCAATCTGAAAAATAAAAAATAGTATTAACAAATGAAGTGATAGTAACAATAATAATTATTAATAACTGATTATGGGTTGGTGAAATTACCTCAACGTCCCTCTGCATGATCTTGCGTCTCATGAGAGCAATAGCTTCGTTAGAATAAGGCTCATCACGTCCGGGACATCGGACACCGGAAAACGAAAAGGCGATGCTGCAAGTTTCTTTGGGGACAAACAGTTTGAATCTGTGTCCACTGAGTACATATTCAACGACAGCTGTCATTCTCCTGTTACGTTGCAAAAACGGGAGGAAATCTTTGGCTTTCTTGGCAGATGCCTGAGAAAAAGATTACAATAAAAACTAAAAGTCAAAAACATTGTATACAAGTCAAACATATTTTATTTACTAACCGTTAAGAGATCTGTGACATGCATGACTGGAGGATCTTTAGCGGAATGAATTCCTTTCTTTCCGGATGTAGCACGGGTTTCAGCTGCTAAAAGATTCTCATAGTAATTTGATCTTTCCTCAAAGTCTCTATGTCTAATCACAGTGCCAAATCCACGTGCAATAATCAGCTCAGCAACATTAACACCCGGTTGCTGGGTTGCTGCTGGAGTAGTAGCAGGAGTAGGAGTAGGAGTAGGAGTAGGAGTAGCAGAGGAGACATCTTCAGTTTCTTTCCCTGGAGTCAACAGAAACACTGACCCAAATCCCATTACTCTTGAATCTGCGGGCCCAGCTGGGGCAGCAGATCCATCAGCTACTGGGACCTTCCGGGAATATTCCATTGAAACTTGAACCTAAAAAAGTTTAAAGTAATCATCAAAATCAACCTTCAACTTTTCTATATTTCAAATTAGGTTTAATGTCAAGAAGTTGAAATTGTGTAAAAAAGGTTAAAATCTGATAATGTTACCTGACGACCCATTAATCTTGTTCTGAGAAATTCCCTTGCTTCACGGGCATAAGGAGCAGGTTTCTCCTCTCTTCTTGGGTTTCCCAATTTGGGGCATCTGATACTTGAAAGATTGACTCTTCTTTCAGCAGCTGGACTACCGAATGGTAGTGAATCATCAGCAACAACAATGCAGTCCCCACTAACAACTTCAACTACCTGTAAAAAGTTTTAATTTAGTGAATTTTATTAAAAGAAATGGAAGAAATGAGATAGTTTAAAGACAAACCTTTCCAGTGAAGTTATCTGATATGGCCTTTGAATTGGTAGCTGGGGGAACATAGTTTGTCCAAAGCCTCAACTTATTCTTCTTTGCTAGAAGTTCTGCAGCTTTTAACTTCCTCCTGGCTTCATCTTCCATCATACTCGCACTCCACTCAACGTATTTTGCATATCCCTAATTAAAAAAAAAAAAAAAAAACAATATGTTATAAAAAAAAAGTTGTAAGAAAGTAGGTTGTTATTTTAAAACATAACATACATTTTCAATAAGCTCCATTGCCAGATCCTTTGCTGATTCTCCATCAGAGTAATATACAGAACCAATCAGATTGCTAAACTTGTCAACACCCTCAAGAACAATCCGGACCTGTTCAATAATAAAGATAGAAATAATCAAACCCAATGTCTTTTATGTCAACTTAATAAGGGGAAATTGGAAGATATTACTCACATCTCTGTTTAGAACACGGATCTCAGTAAAATGTTTAGCTTCCCTCCCATAAGGATCAGGGGAAACTTCATTGAAGCCCGATGAGGCTGAGATTCTTTGGGCTGATGTTAAGGGCCCACGTGACTCTGAATTATTATTTTCTCCATTTGTCTCTTCGGATGGGACCTCAATTGGTATTGTAGGTTCTTGTGTTGTCCTTCTTCCCATTGATGGTGCCTAGTAAGCAATTAGATAAATTAGAATTAAATATATCATTCCATTCCTTGAAGGAATGGGATAACACAGACAGATACTGTGAGAAGGAACCACGTTCTATGAGGAATGCATGATTCCATTCCTTTGTGGTATTCAAAAAGAATGCATGTGGTTACCTGGATTCCAGCAACAAATACTTGGACAAACTGAAACTCTGGAAGCAGATAAACACGAAGTGAACTTCCATCACGAACTTGTTCTACAATGGCTTCCATGGGTTTGCCTTTGTGTGAAGCTAAGAGGCCCATGGCATCAAGATTGCTGGGATCACCAACAGCAGATGGAGGAAGGTTCCTGATAGCTGCCTCCACAGCACCCGGAGACTAAAACCCATCAACAAAATGACACGTCATCAACATTGCAACAATACAACTTATAAACACCATGCATAAGGCAACACAGTAATTACTAACTAACCCTATCCCATAAACCAACTCCTTGTTGTCTGGCTTGTTCTTCAAGGCGTAGGAGTTCGGTATGCTCAGGAGTAACCTCTCCTTTTCCCTCTTTAACCTGGAATTAATGTTTAATAAGTGAAGCTATGTTGAATGTGAAGGTGAAAATTCTTATAAATGAATTGGAATTGGAATTACCTTTGCCCAGCCATGAGTGACAACCTCATTTCCAACATTTGAAGTACCGATGAAAACACTGCAGAATTCTCGGGAGAAATTTGGGATAGTGTATTCAGTTCTAAAGACAACATCCTGGTAAACACATAGATATATATAAACATTGTCATGAGATTTTTAAATTAAAATGAAATATGAATAATGGAAACTCAAAGGGTTTTATGAATCAGAACCTTTCCTATGCATAACTTCCGTAGAAATTCTCTGCTTTCCCATGCAAATGGATCATCCTGGCCACCTCTACGTGCCTAAATATAAAACAAGAAAATTGTTCCCCATCACTAATCAACAAAATTAGAATTATTACAAGTATAATTCCTAGTACAGGTTCATATAGGTCAGATAGAAATAGAAAAGAAACTGCAGAATATGGCATACACCAACATAAAAAAAGTATTCACTTAATTTAGAAAACAAACCAATTTATCCACTAGGTTAAGAAGTCACTTCGTTATGGCTTTAAATAAGTGGGTGGTAAGTGGTGAAAGGTGAGTGGTGAGTGGCGAAGTGATAGTACTATTTGTAGTAGTAGAAGACAACTGGCTTATAGCAAAAAGTAGGAATCTTGGTAAAATTTGCAGTTTTGGGAGCCAGCAAGAAAATGAAATGGAGACTGGCTACATTCCAAAAAAGTGTTAAAAACCAAATTTTATGATCAAATCAAACCTACTAAATAAAATACTCAATGCTTGCTTTTCAGAAAAATTTCACAAAAAAGCTAAACAACGACTCTAAAAACAATTTCTGTCACCATTCAAAAACGGACATAATGTAGGAATAAACACAATTAGGTAAACATACTAATCTTGGAGCCGATAGATGAGCTAAAACGATTGTCTTCTCAGGGGGGATTTCCGCTTTGGTGAATCCCATAATCACCAAGGTGTCGCCAGACATAACAGCTTTGACTTTTCCTCTCAGCCATCCTGAATTTCCAGCTGGTTGCGCCATTCTTTAAGATCTGAAAAAATAAAACGCATCAATCATCAACAATTAAAAGAAAGATGTATACACATTGAATGCAGGTTGATAAACCCTAACATCTCAGAGACACATGGCACATAATTTGGTCAGTAATGTCTACATGTATTCACGTAGAAAAAACCAACATTTCCTTATTGTTCATAACTTCAAAAGAAAACACAGGATCAACAAAAACCCACTAATATCCAATCCATCATTCAAAAGAACTAATCGAAACCTAATTAAGTAATCGTGAATAGATGATACGCTCATTAAATTACATCAATTTAGATTTCAATCTTCAGATCCATATGCAATAATATAATAAAAATCAACATTTTCAAAACAAATCCAAGTAAAACCACATAACAATCACGGATACACACATTGACACTCCAAACACATCATATAACTCAAATCATTATCCAAGATCGACAATTCATCAAACAAAAATCAATCCAACGACTCCGATCTATCAAATAAAAGAACTAAAATTTACAGTATTAACGTAACATCCTGCATGTAAACGCGCAGATTCGTAGAAACAACGTTACTTATTAGATCGGTAGACTACAATACCTGAAGGCTAACTGTTCTGGATCGATCAAGGAAAACACACACAGAAATCGAACAAACTCAAAATCAACCAATCTGAAATGAAACTTGGAGTGTAGAATTATCAAAATCCACACATAATTAAACCCGAATTCGAACGAAAACAACGGTGATTCAAAATTGAGACCAGAAGGAAGTAGTTCGGCCGGCGGAGGAAAATTTGTGACACTATACAAAGAGGCTGTATTTATATAGGAGGGGTCGAAAATCGATATGAGAAGCAATTAAATGTACCCCTCCATTTTGAAGTAAATTACTAAAAATGCCATAAGGTTTCCGCTAACAGTTTCTGACTACCCTTGGTGTTGGACTACCAGATATGTATCTACTATCTATGACGACATTTTACTTCCACGTCGGATCTTTCAACCAATCAGAATGCATCACGTATGCTGACTCATCGAATTTAATCGTGTCTACCTAAAATAGTAAAAGCAGGGTTACATATTTTACCCTGAACTTTTTTACCTTATTTATGTACTCAGATGATGTTGGATTTGTGTCTGAAATTGTATTAATTAGGTTTGAGTGTGATAAAAAAATTAATATTTATTATAAGTTTTAATTATTTATAATTGAGATTAGATTATTGAGATGGGTAAAAAAGCTTTCTCCAAAATTTATTTTTACAAAAAATATAATTTTAATTACTTTTATAAAAGTTATATAATTAATAACAGTATTCTAATTTTCTGAATAGAAAGATTTAGAATGTCTAGAAACATCAATAGTGAGTTTATTTAAATTTGGCAACCCATAACTAAAAATATCTTCTAAAAAATTGATTTTTTTTTATTATGATTAGCTAGGGCACTCGTGTAAAAGATCAATCATTACAAAATATCATCTTGTCTCCTTTTATACCCATTTTAACCCACTTCTTCACACATGTACAAAAAAATAAAGTAGTAACAACAATCACATCAGTTTTTATCAAACATATACTATATACATTACATCTTCTCTTGTTTTTCAGTTGTGACAATATTAACAATTTACCAAGCACGAATTTATTGGAAAACACTTCAAAGTAAGTAATTTTAAGAATCTAATTCATGTCGACAAAGATAAGAGTTCGTAAGAAAAAAAAAAAAAAAGGTTTCCATAAACCATATCCCTCCAAGACTCCAATGTCAAAATGTAAATGTCATTTTTACGCATACACGTCTTTGGCGTGTGAAATTGTTTATTCTAGTGACTTGAAACCGCAATGTCTCTTTCCATTCTATAATTAGATTTCTTGCAACCATGATGGAAATGATGGAAAGACCTTATCTAGTAAAAGGGCATAAGCATCTATCTTATTGAAGCAAAATTAGATAATGAGGTATCCAAATTTGTGAAGTTTGTTATACAAAAGCTTGTCTAAGTTAAAGAAAGTGAACATATGTTGTTCTTATATGCATGCACACATGTTAGGCGGTAGCGGATCTATAAATTCTCATCATAGGGGTACTAGCTTTTCTACAACAAAATGATCAGGTCATAATGATGCTTTCTAATAAATCAAAATCTTTTTGTCACATGTCCTTTTCTTCTTCATTTTGACACATGAATTTTTTATTTACCATTTGTTATTTTAATATATTTTCATTTTATTAAATTAAAATTCCACATTTAATATGTAATGTGATATATATGTAAGGTATTTATTAGAAATGGTTTATATGTGTAATGTATTCAATGTATTAAAGTCTCATTAATTTTAATAATTTAAATTTTTTTTAGTTTTCTTATAAATTCAAACTTCTCAAATTGCTAAAGTTTCATATTTAATTTTTTTTAAATAAACTCATGTAATACATGGATATCACACCTAGTATTGTAATAAAGATTAACGTTATTAACAAAAATCGAACATAATTTAGAAACACTAGTAAATATCTCATGTTTTTCACGACTTTGATATTTTGAAAACTATATATATATATATATATATATATATATATATATATATATATATATATATATATATATATATATATATATATATAATAAAGTTACAATAAACACCCTCACAAATTTTCAATTCACAAGCTATTAATTATGACTAATATCCCCCCGCAAGCGATACGGGGGCGGACCAAGTCGAAGCATATTCCAGAAGAGTTCAAATTGATGTTGAGGAAGACTTTTGGTAAAGATGTCTGCCACTTCAAGCTTGGTTGGAATAAATATTGTATGAAGCTTGCCATTTGCAACTAGTTCCCTGATAAAATGATAGTTGAGGTCAATATGTTTGCCCCTCTTATGTGAGATCAAGATTTTGAGAGAGAAAAAGAGCATTTTGATTATCACATAAGAATGTCGGCCGACCAGCAGGTAAGACATGGAGCTCACGTAGAAGATGAGTGAGCCACACGATTTCAGCAGTCGTATTTTCCATTGCTCGATATTCAGACTCACAACTTGAGCGAGAAGTAGTAGGTTGATTTTTAGCGCTCCATGATATAAGATCCCCCCCCCCCCCAATAAATATCGAGTAGCTAAAGGTGGAACGACGAGTATCAATACACTGAGCCCAATCAGCATCAGAATACCCAACCAAAGAGGTGGAATTAAGTCGAGAAAATGTCAGCCCAGACCGCATAAGAGATATCAGGACGTGTGACGATTAAATATTGAAGTGCGCCAACCAACGAGCGATACTTAGTGGGGTCAGAGAAAGGCACCCCATCAACAACCAAAGGAGCAAAGGATGACAGTGGCATGGCCACCGGTTTAGATTCAAGAAAATCTGCACGAGATAAAATGTCATGTGCATATTTGGATTGACAAAAAAAAAGACTCGAATCCAAGTAAGAAGCTTCAAGACCAAGAAAATAGTTTAACCAACCACGGTCCTTAATTCGGAACTCATTATGCAATTTGCTAATAAAAGACCGAATAAGGAAGGAGTACGAGCCTATAAGAATTAGATCATCCACATAGACAAGTAGGTCTAACAAACATGTCCGACGTTGAAAGACAAAGAGAGATGGATCAACACGACTACAACGAAAACCATCCGCCACCAAAAAGGAGTGGAGGTGTTGAAACCACCCCCGAGGAGCTTGTTTGAGCCCATAAATTGCTTTATTGAGCTGAAAAACATGATTTGGGAAACGAGAATCAACAAATTCCGGAGGTTGTTGCATGAAAATCCTGTCAGATAAGTTACCGTGGAGGAAAGCATTATTTACATCTAATTGATGTAACGGCCAATTATTAATAACTGCCACAGATAAAACAACACGGATGGCGGATGCTTTAACAATTGGGCTAAAGGTATTTGAAAAATCAACACCTAGTACTTGACTGAAACCTTGAGCCACAAGACAAGCCTTGTGACGCTCAATGGAACCATCAGCACGGTATTTCGTGCGAAACAACCACTTGCACCCAACAATATTGTGTATATCAGGACATGGAACTAATACCCATGTATTATTGCGGTACATAGCATCCATTTCCATACGTATAGCATGCACCCATTTAGTGTCACTCATAGCTTGAGTGTGATGGATCGGATCACCTGATGCAAGTAACGCATGAGAGAGACCATGATATAAAGATTCAGAGAGATCAACTCTATGCCTGGGCTTAAAAATCCCAGCTTTTGCACGAGTGACCATTGGGTGCCCGGTTTGGGAATGAGTGCTGGTGGGGGTCGGTTGAGCAGCAGTAGTGGGAGAGGATGGCAGATTAGGGGATGAGGGTGAGATGTGGATAGGAGTGGGACATGGGGTGTTATGTGGCGAGGATGGAGAGTTGGGTGACGATGGGAAGCTAATGGAGGTGATTCATTAATGGAGGGAAATGGTTCATGAAGCAAAACAGTCGGTGGTTGAGGTGGACAGAGGTGACATGGCATAGATGGTGGAGGAAGGGTGAGTGGTGTAGAAGGAATAGGTGATGGGGGTATGAGGGTGGAGGTATATCATTAAGAAATGTGTGAAGGGTGAGGGTGGAGACAGTTGTGTTGGAAAGTAGGTCTTTATACGGGAAACTCAACTCATCAAAACGTGCATGTCGAGTGATATAAATTTGTGATGTGACCGGATCAAGATGCTGATAACCCTTATAGTGGGGGTTATATCCGATAAAAATACAGGCAATACTCCTTGGAAAGTAGGTCTTTATACGGGAAACTCAACTCATCAAAACGTGCATGTCAAGTGATATAAATCTGTGATGTGACCAGATCAAGACATTGATAACCCTTATAGTGGGGGTTATAGCCGATAAAAATACAGGCAATACTCCTTGGAGCAAGCTTGTTGGAGGAATAGTCTCGTAAATACGGATAAACCTGACAACCAAATGGTTTAAAATTGGATATGAGGGAACACGGTCAAACAAAACTTCAAATAGAGACTTCAAAGAGAGAACCTTCGTCGGTAATCAATTTATAATGTAGATTGCGGATGCAAAAGCATGGACCCAATATGAGGTAGGTATACGAGCATGAAATAGCATGGCAAGCTCGGTCTCCATTATGTGTCGATGTTTCCGTTCAACACCACCATTTTGTTGCGGAGTATAGGGGCACGAAATATGATGGAACGTGCCATTGTCACTAAGTAATGTTTTTACATTACTGTTCAAAAATTTAGTTCAGCCATCGCTTTGAAAAGTTTTTATTTTAGTGTAAAATTGAGTTTGAACAAACTTCATAAATTTATCAAGTACATCAAAGAACTCAGATTTTGCTTTGAGAGGATAAAACCAGGTGAATCTTGAGTGATCATCAACAAACGGCACATAATAGCGATAAGCATTAATCGAAAGAATGGGAGATGGCCCCCATAAATCACAATGGACCACATCCAAAACATGTAAAACACGTTTCGTGTTAAGCTCAAATGGTAAACGAAAAGATTTAGCTAATTCGCAAGGTGCACATATAACCAGTTTTGGTAAAATAGAAGAAACCTCCAAATATCCCAAATTACGTAATAATGAAATAGTATCAAATGAAGTGTGACCCAATCTGGAATGCCGCAATTCATAAAAACCTTTCTTTTTATGTTGAACAAAAAAAGCTTGAACTTGTGGAGTAGCGAATAGCACATATAGCCCGTGATCACACGTTCCTTAAGCTAGCACTTCCTTCGTTGGGTGGTCCTGATTAGTAAATAGATTGCAGGAAAAAACAACATCCACACCATTGCCACGCGTTATTTTACTAACAAACAACAAAATTTTGGTAAGATTGGGAAAGACCAAAACATTATTTAAACAAACATTATTCCCGATGGAGGAAGTACCAATATGAGAGATAAGAAGAGAAGTGTTGTTACCAAAGAGAACCGGGGCATCCCCATCAGAAGGTGTTGAGTTAGTAACAGATGCAAAAGAAGAGATAGAAGTGGCGTTACCCTTCTGTTTACACAGGTCGTGTAACCGCAAAAAGAGAGCTAGACGATTTTAAAGCCTAAAACTCGATTTTTTTACTCATTCTTTTCACATTGTCTGCGGTTCTTCTCCTACCTACTTCCCCCTTCGAAAAAAAAACCCTCAAAAACACTCCATCTTCCTCAATTTTGCTTCAAAAATCAAGCTCCAAGGTATGAAATTCTTCTCTTTTCTTCATCTGCTTTATCATACATCTCAATTTCACCCACTAATAGCCGATTTTCGGGGTTTTGAGCAAACCCTAAAAATTTTAAATCTCCCAATTTCAAGCTAATGTTTGTAATATCTTGTAGGATAAGCTTGGAGAAAGCTTGGGGAAGCATTGGGCATCACCCTACCATCCTTTTCAAGCACAAATTGGTATAATTGTTCCAAACTCTTTACTTTGTGCATATAGTTAGAACCACATTCTTTTGGGGTAATTATTGGTGATATTGCTAGTTGTTGTGTACTCTAAAGCTCCAAATTGCCCTACATTGTGTGCAAAACTTTGTTGAATTCTTGGGAAATGGCTTCCCGTGGAAAAAGGGCTATAATTGGGACCTCACATTTGGGTGGTCAAGAGACCAATGATGAACAAGACCAATCTCCCATAGAAAACCCCTATGAATTTGGTCTTTATTTTGAGTCCAATCAACAATAGATTTTGTATACAACCCTTATTCAAAGGGTTAAAAGGGCACAAAAATTTGTGGACATCCAAGCCCTTAAAGGACCTTCATATCTATAAAGGTGTCCACAAGCTCTTGAAGAACATTGGTTGGGAAGGTCTATTGAATCTCCATGCTTTAAGCTATCTATGTTGGAACTTTTTTCATCCATCACCTTTGATTACCAAACACATATCCTTATTTTTCGTTTGCTCAATCAATCCCATAAGATTCATGCTAACATCCTTTGTGATATTAATTGTGCTCTAAAGGCAAAAAGGGATGTGTATACAACAAAGGGTAGAAAAAATGTTATATTTGAGCAAATTTGCGAAAGATTTTGGAGAAGCATCTCTTGTGAACACGAGTTTCAGTCGGGCACGGCAAAGGCTTCTAGCATCATACATCTGGTCCTTAAGGTCACCCACTAAATCATTGCTTCGCTCTTGTTTCCTCAAGAAGATATTAGCAAGGAAGACATGAAGGAGTTGGAAGTTTTGTGGTGTATGATTAACAAACCCGAAGAAGTTCCTCATTTCGGGTGTTGGGTAATTCAGAAAATGCTCAGAAACTCCATGAGCAATGGTGGTCAGCTTCATTGTGGAGGCATGGTTTCTATTATAGTTGAACACCTTAGCCTCTATTTACCCAACAACCCAACCAACGTAATTTCGGGTCATAACTGTTTATCACTTGATGTTATGGAGACCATACACCTCTTTCACCGCAATCCCAATGGGGATGTTCATTGTACCATCGACGGTAAAGAGTATCTACGCATTGACAGCCGAAATAAGAAGATACTTGTTTTATCCAATGACATCCCTTCCACAAATTGGCATCTCCAATCCAACTAGGGTGTTACTACTGTAACATCCAAAATTTCAAGCAAATTTAAACTTTTAAAAACATTCATGTTCATCAAAACATTACAAATTTAGTTTTCAAAACATTGATTATCAGAGTCTTTTCCCAGAAACATAACAGAGTAGGAGGAGTTGTACGATCACGCCTTGGCCTTGCCGCGATCCCCTGAGGTACCTGAAACCATAAACTGAAACTGTAAGCCCAAAAGCTTAGTGAGTCACCCCAAAATACCGATACACATACAGTCCACATAGCAATAACAACATTAGCATATCATATCACTTAAAACAAAACAGTATACACTGGGTCCCCAGCTTTACAAGCTGGACTACCCCTAAGCCCTCAGTACGAGTTTGGAATGCCTACCGGACCCTCAGCTCGTATCTGGAATGCCATTGAGCCCTCAGTACGAGTTTGGAATGCCTATCAGGCCCTCAGATCGTATCTGGAATGCCATCGAACCCTCAGTATGAGTCTGGAATGCCTACCGGGCCCTCATCTCGTATCTGGAATGCTCCCGAGTCCTCAGTATGGGTCTGGAATGCCTACCGGGCCCTCAGCTCATATCTAGAATACTCTCGGGTTTGTTGGCTATCGCACGGAGCAGTAAAACCTGAACCCACCCCACACAACATGTCGACATCTGACAAATAAATGCACATACAGGTAATCAATCAGTATCACAGGCAGTCCTACAGATCTACCCGACTAGCATATCAACTAGCATACATTACTAACTCAACTCAACATATCGATAACTACTAGGATATCAAATCCATTGGGTTGGCCTTGGTGCCTTAGACCCCTTAGTATAGTGAGGATAACTCACCTCGCAACTGCTGACTGGAAAGATAAGATCACGCTGCTCCAACCTTCGACATGAACTCCACCACTGATCAATACCAAAAGACTGAACTCCATAAATACCAATAATTACCAAAATACCCTTGGAAGTCAACTGGTCAACTCTTGGTCAAATTCAAAGTCCTTAGTCAAAGTCAAACTTCCTGACTGACTCTACTCGTCGAGTCCCTAGGCCCTGAACACTCCCACATCGCGACCCAACTCGCCGAGTCACCCCAAGACGCGTCGAGTCCCACAAACTCTGAGTCACCTCCTGCACAACTCACCGAGTCGTCCCTGGACTCACCGATTTACAGCTCAACCAAAAAGGTTTGGATTCCACGACCAGACTCACTGAGTTGTTCTTCCAACTCGTCGAGTTCCTGCCTATCTTCATCCAACTCGCCGAGTACACCCATGTGACATGCCGAGTACCTCTAGTTCTTAACCCATGCAGTGGCTTTTTAAGCCATTCTGGATCTCCAATCCATAGATCTACCCTTCCACAAGCTATTCCTCACATAAAGTTGCAAACTTTACATGAATCCAAAGAGATCTAAGCATAAAACACTCTTGGGCTAGGGTTTAGGACAAGAAGGCTTCACTAACAACTCTTGGGCATGAACTTTATGGCTTCTTGGACCATTACAATCCTAGATCTGAGGTAGCAGCCTCAGATCTTACACCAAACTCGAGATGGACCTCATTTATGCTCCAAAAACCCCACAATTGATAAATCTAGATGAACAAAAGCTCAAGAACATATCTCTTACCTCCAATGCTAGCTCCCACTAGAGAATGAACCAAATCTCTGCAAAGCCCCTTACTCCAAATCTCCTTTCTCTTCAATTCCCCTCCAAGATTTCCTCCTCCAAGGCTCTAATTACTCATAGAGGAAAGCTCACACGAATCCAGGGCTTCTGGAACTCAAAGGGAAGGTAAAGAGGCTGGGGAAGAGGTGTTAGGCTCTTTATATAGAGCACAACCCCGAAAATTAGGGTTCTCTCCACCCAACACCAACTCGCCGAGTCACTCCTCCGACGCACCGAGTTAGTCACTTAACACATGACAAGATTCGCGACATGACTCGCCGAGT